TGAAAAAACAGAGAGTATTATTTTAGGAAATAGGCTACATTATATCTGACTGACTCTGACAGTGACCAGGATTTCAATTTTCAGCCAGAATGAACTGCTTTTAATACATGTGCGATCTATATGCCAACTTAATAGGTTAGATTTAGTCATAACTGCTTCAGGTGTCAATGGCAAAAAATAGTCATTGTTACAAGAGTATTCTCATGCGCTTCTTTCTGGTGGATCTGCATTACTTATTCTGCTTTTCTTTAGATTCAAATAAATACTAACTGATATTTTTGAACTTCAGAAGTTAAGGAAAACTAGATTTTTTCCTGCCTCCTTCCACAACCAAAGGTAAAGTCACTAGGGCCATCAAATCTAGATAAACAATTAATTATTCACTGGTAGGATATGCTTCTTTTATACAGTGTCAGAATATGATTTCTGTTCCTTACTTTGGTGCTACTTTTTGTGATCTTTATCAAGTCATTAAGATGTTCAGCCAGCTTTAGTCATGCACCGAGATACATACACTAGGGAGCACCTAGCTCCTGAAACCATCAGTGCAGACAAATACAGAAATGGCTTCTGCCCTTTCCTCTATGGCACTGATTGTCCAAAAAGTAGACACTTCATTTAAATGTCTAAAGATAGATGGAAGAAAATCAGGCCTCAGTGAAAACGTCAGCTTCCTGAGTGATTGCACTTCCTTACCAGATAAATAAACAAGGGGAGATATATTGGTCACACATCTAAAACACATCCGAAGTGTGTGTTTTGGACATCCGAAGTTCCAGAGAGGGGGTCCATTGTTCTAGCCATACCAAGGCTCTGAGAGTCCATATACACAACTGGAAATTCAGCACTTGGACATGTTTGAAAATACCAGTGGTCACCTACGGGTCCTAAACCTTTCTTGTAATCATACAAGTAGTTCCACTTGTCTCCATCTTACATTTTGAGTCCTACTGTAATGAAGATGTTGCCAATTCCAGCTGAATTTAAATGGCACAGGAGTTGCTTACAGCCTGCAAGCGATAGCCGGTACCAAGACTTGGACTGCTACTGCTGGAGGTGTGAAATACTAGTCATGGCTTGCTTCTTTTAAGTCACTGATAGGTTTTGATTGTATCTGTAGGAAATATTAAAAGATGACAACACAGCAGAAAACCATCATTCTCTGGTTTCATTCAGCGCTACCTAAAAGTAACCCTTGGTATGCTCCACCTGTGTGTATCTGCACGGAACTGTTTAATTCCCTCTATTGTGATTAGATCCTGCTGGCTTCGTCAAGAATCTGGAATCTGAAAAAGTGCCTTTCTGGCTTCTCGTTGTTTACGAGTGCTGAGCCAGTTGTGTTAAGGTGGCAGGGGAGTCAAATCTGATCAGAATGCAAACAATGGGGGGAATGGCAGTGGGCGGACTTTCAAAGAAAAGCACTTAAGACACAGCTCACCTCCTTGGCGAGCCAAACAATTTACCAGTGTCACCCCTGCCGTGGCTAAATGACTAGAGTGAAAATTTATGGGGAAAGGAATGGTTCTCCTGCTGTAAAAAGACAAACCCTCTCGACAGTGTTACACTCCACAAAGTCACAGTTGATAAATAATAAGCCACACAAACAGCAACTTAATGTTCATTTATTAAAATAATTGTGGAGGGTTGTTACATATTTATATTGCTAGCATCTCACTATCGGAATGGCATTAATTGGATTGTTTTTGCAAGAGTGTGTTTCAGGAGGTAGATTGCTGCTTTGAGAAGCAGGAGGCCTGGATTGAGGGACAGGCAATGTCATGGTGGGGCAACAGTCTGTGGGGTCCCAGAAAGCTACCAACAGTGGGTGCTGCATTTGTCCCTAACCAGCAGAGCTTAGCGGGGATGGAGAAGGTGAAGGAAGGCTCCTTTTCTCCTCTGCTGCCCCCCTCCAGCAGCACACGTTTCTCACAAGATGGGAGCAAGCACAGGGAGGGGCTGTGCTGGGGGAAAAGGCCTGAGCCCTGTGAAGAGGGAAAGGACCAAGGAGTCACTGAGACAGCTTGCACTGCAGCCCCAGCCCTGGGGAATGGCCCCGGCACAGACCCTGGCCCTCTGCGCTGTCACCAGCTGGGGAGTGGGCTTCGTAAGAGCACGGGGGCCCATGCTCCATCCACAGATCCCCACTCCCAGGTCCCAGGATTTACCAGTCATAAATCACACAGATCCAAATAATTGCTACTAGTGCCTGAATTAAGTGGGCTTGAAGTATGAGAAATGCTAAAAAGTCCTTTACATGCAATCTCGTAAAGACAGCATCTGATAGGAACATGCCTCTGCTCTTGGGTTTGGATCTGTTGGGAGTTGCTTTCTCTAACAAAGCAAATATTTGGTGACAGAACTAGAAAGTGCTGCATAGCAGGGAAGGTGTGAAGTATTCATAATGATATGAAATAGTACTCAGAATTCAATGTTTTTCACATTCTGTTGCAAGCTTAAACATTAGACTCCTGTCAGAAATTTCTGCTGCAGTATACGCAATTTCTAGCATAAATGTGCTTGCTTTCAATAAAAAAAAGGGGCAGTTTTCAAAGTAAAAAAAGGCCAATTTATGAGTAAAAGTGGGCCTCTTTCTGGGCAAAGAGGCTTATAAACATGAAGTGATAAATGGCTTTGCAAGTTTTCCATACAATAACAACAACTTCCTAATCAAAACAATGAAAAAGTTGCAACTAGGAGAGGGGAGAGAAGCTCCATGCAGATTTTAATACACGAACAACATTTTAGAAAATAAATATATAAGCTCTATAAATTTGTTCCACTCTGTAATCTGAATTTGTGTTGGAGACATGTCAGTAATATTTCTTTGCATATATTTATTTAATGTTATAAATCAAAATCCTGTTCTGGGTTTGCTGCCTTCTGAGATTAATTTCATGCAATAATGTTGTAAGACTTAAGGAAATGTATTTCTTAGGATCCCCTAAGTGGCAGAGACATCTGATTTTCTAGTAGTCCATATGTTTTTAGAGCTAAATATATCTTCTGGCTTGACTCATTGATTTTACATGCAAATATGTTGCTTCAAATTGCTGATCTGATGAGCAACTGGTAAGGTTGCTTGTCTCATGACCTAAAAATGCTTCAAGATCCAAGTACTAGGGAATTGGGATCTCCTTCTTGTGCATGCTCCAAGAAAGGTGGTGTGATGTACACAGGAAAATGCATAATGCAAAACGCTCTATTTAGTGAATGCTTTCAAATTACTTAGCTGCAGAGAAGATTGTGTGGCCTGAGAGGTTGCTTTGCTAAGCTAGAGATGAGAAATAAGTCTTTTAAAATTTTAAACTGCGAGATACAGGCTGGAGGATGAATGGACTGAGAGCAGCCCTGTGGAGAAGGATTATGGGGGTACTGGTGGATGAAAAACAGGACATGAGCCATCAATGTGCACTCACAGTCCAGAAAGCCGAACGTATCCTGGGCTGCATCCCCAGCAGCGTGGGCAGCAGGGCAAGGGAGGGGATTCTGCCCCTCTGCTCTGCTCTAGTGAGAGCCCACCAGGAGTCCTGCGTCTGGCTCTGGAGCCCTTTAAAGGTCCCTTCCAATCCAGACTATTCTGTGTTCTCTGCTATGGGATTGGGATCAGCCCTACTTCAGCTTCCTTGATTCTGCTCTGTAAGGCGGTGTGCAGGTGGTAGACAAAGATCACTGTGTTGCTATATGGAGTTTCACACCCCTTGTCTCCCTGCATGTTAGTTGTTTGGAAAGTGTTAGATGAAGGACATGGAATGAGTGATGCCAAAGACACGTAGCCTTGGTTCTTGTAAACACAGTTGGCTGTTAGAGCTGGTATGGGGCTAAAAAAGCCCTCTAGCAGCAGTGCCCTACCCACCTGTTCAGGCATCATTATGTTGCTTTGCCCCTGAGATCCAGACTTATATTTCCAGGAAGGTTTGACAAAACATTCCAGAGCACACATGATATTCTTACCATATAGTTTTAAAGGTGACTGCAGCACTTTCCCATCTGTGTCCTCCATTGATGATGCAGCACATATGGTCCTTGGGCAGATGGTTTCATATAAGGCAGCCATACAAATGAAGAAAATATTAATTTTAATTACGTGCCCAGTCTTGTCTCCGGTGAAATCCATGTCAAAATTTTCTGTGAGTTCCATGGGAGCAGGTTCTGATGCTGATAATAGCTCCCTTAGATGGGATGTATTACTACCCCATTGTCCAGCTTGCAAGCAGATGTGCTTTCATGCTGGTGCAAGATCAATAACTTAGAAATGCTTTAACATTCCTATTGCAGAGCAGTGGCCACAAAATTTTTTTCAGAGTTATGGCTGTCTTTCGGGGAGGGGAATTAAGGATGGGTTTTGTGATGGACCTCTGCTGTCTGGTTCTACAATAGGTAGACAGTCAGATTAGTAACCATGACGTAGGAATCGGCTATTATAGATGTAAATCGTTAATGTTATGCACATTTGCTCTGTACAATAACTGGCAGTTGCAGCCAATTTGAGAAACTGCTTTCTTGCTGCTTACAGTGAAGCAAACTTAGATTACTATTCTAAATGCTAATACACAGAGTGAATGTTATTTAACAAAATAAAATGAATTTATATATAGATTGTGACATTAGTATTTAATTATGTACCCGTCATAATACTGATGAAACAAGCGGCTAAATATTGGTGCACTGAAGTGAGCGCATACTCTTAAAGAGCAGGTATATTTTAATTTCTTTCCTCATTCCTAATCTCCTTAAATAAAAGGATAGATTACTGATATTCTTCTGTATTCCTTCGTACCGTATTCCAAATAAGGTTTCCATTGTAGCAACTGAAGCTCATAGAAAGCTGTGGTGTTTGAGTAAAACACAGTGATAACAGATCCATTACTATGCTTTGTTTTATCAGGCCAAATTAAATTTTAGATTTTTTTTTTATTTCTTCTTTTAAGGCCAATGAAACTAGTATACAGTACGTTGTAGGAATTTTTTTTTTAACCTTTCCTTTTCTGTTATTTTTTCAGACTATGGAAACCCCAAAATACGAGCTAGTTATAGAAGCTAAGGATATGGGAGGTCTTGATGTGGGACTAACGGGTACAGCAACAGCCACTATTCTTATTGATGACAAAAATGACCATCCACCAGAGTTTACCAAGAAGGAGGTAAGAATTTGCCATCTGTGTTCTACAAAATGCTTCATGAAATTGTAATTAGCGTATTTCTAAATATAAAAATGTTCCTTAATGGAAGAAAATACTTAAAGACATCTTTTTAGCTCAATGTAACAGACTTTCCTGAAGCTGGTCTTTTCTTCTTTTACGTTAACAAATTTCTATGCATCATTTCCAAAGCAAAATGCAACTACAAGGTAAAAATTTATCTCGAGTGATATCATTCAGAGGTTGGTTAGCAGGATGAAAACCTGTAAAATAAGTTTTCTAGTGGTAACTTTCTCCTTTTGCTCCTATGGAGGAAAATAGACAATTCCCTCCTGCCTAAGTTCTAGCTTAGGGCTTTTGGTGCTCCAAAACATAGATGAAAGCCACACATTTTGTCCCAGCATCAGTACTTCACCCGTGAGACAGCTAGTGTTGAGAGGTCTGTAATGAAAGCTCTAGTCCTAAAAGCTGTAAATTTAACCTGCAGGTGGAATTTGCAAGGAAAGTTTTTTTCCCTGCAAGTTGAATTCCACTGAAGAATGATGAAAAGTCTGAAAAAAAACCCCAAACCAAAACAAAAGATATTCACTGCCTTCAGGAGGGTGCAATAGTGCTACAGCAACGTTTCTGGTTTCAGGCAAAACATCTACCAAATTTTCTGCCCTTCTTGCACAGCTCCCTTCCCTACATTTATTATTGGTCTGATTTATTTTTTTCTCCCCCTCTGGTATCTGCAGAGAATTAGAGAGTGTCAAAAGTTTTACCTAATAACAGCTGGTTTGGATTTTGTTGTAAAAGTTTCCTGAGGCTTTGCAGATTTTAAGGAATATTCCCAAAAGATGAGAAGCATGAGGGATGCTGATTTTAAGGCAATTTTAGAACAAGAAAAGGAAAGCATGTTGCTATAAAAGTCTTGGGTTTCTCCTTAGGGTATGTTTTTACTTTTTTTAAATTTTCTTTTCTGGCCTAATTTTAACGATTTGACAACAGATTATTTTGAAGCAAATTACTGCAATTTTACTTGAATAATTATTTATTTTATAAATACAAACTGGATAACCAGATTTTAAGAGGGTTGAGACGGTTTTTAAAAAACAGGAAAAAGAAATAAGAAAGAATGACAATTTTGCCAATGGGAATATTGTTTTTTACTAATCAGTGACAATAGCTATAATTACTTCCGTAAAATGCTTTGGCAAGAGCATTTCTGTCACCTAAAAAGTACCATGCAGAGTCTGATCCAAACCTTTCAAGTACATAGGTGACAATTAGGTGACTTTGATCAAACTACCAATTCCCTTAAAACTACCCTTTAGGTCAGGCTTTTAATGGTCTGAAAGCTATTTCCTGACAATCAATAGTTAAAATATGTTTAAAATATTGCGTTATTTTATCCCTGTGGGATATTACAATGTAAGAGGACAACTCGATGTGTTTAGAAATAGGAAGTAATTGTATTAATAGAGATAGCTATTCGTGTCATCCAGACTCCTAACTACTTGAATTTCAAAACTTTGAGATTTCTTTTTCTGAAGAAATCTTTTTATAATTATATTTCCTGTTTGACTTAATAGTTTTTTCTGGTAGTTTGGGCAAGCATGTTAAAAACTTTTGTGCCTGCTTATCCCCAAATGTACTGTTAGTGTCTATTTCTGTGGAAATTTGGAAATGTACTCTATACCCTTGAAAGTCTGGTGGTTTCAGAACAGAAATAAAATAACAAGTGTGAAGGGACAGCATTACGTAGCTTTCTTTGAAAAGTCCAGTCTTAAATGTTTTTTCTTGCACTTTATATGAAATATAAGTTTTCCTATAAAGACATCTCTTTTTTTTTTCAGTACATTGTGACATGATTTTGAACCTTTCACTCTTTAGATGTGTAAATGACCTCAGAAATCTTCCCTCTGCCTTGCTAAGTGATATTCTTATTCCATGAATAAGGCAAGAAAATTCAGTCTTTAGACGTTCGGAGTCAGTACCCTTTAGAAACATATGCTTTGTTTAAAATAACTAGTGTAAGAGGGGGGAGAGCGTCTGTTAATAGAGCTAATGCCACTTCATTTGGCTTAACACTTCAAGTACTTAATTATTGTATTTTAATACCAGTTGCATGTCACATGCTGCAATACTATTGGTTTGAAGAAGACTTGAAAGAAAAGACCTATTCTACAAGATAACTTTTGAAGTAGACAGCTCAGATTCAGTAAATCTGAAGGTTTGATTTCAGAGTGCATCTTCTTTCATTTACTTCGAGACTGGCTGCTTTATGATTGGCTTCTTATGGTATTGACATGCTTTCCTAGCTATATTCCTTCTCTTTAAAGATACTTTCCCTCAATGCCTTTTTCCCTTGTGTTAAACAGATGCTTATTTACTGGCCTGTGTTCTCATCTGATAGTATAGTTTTTACCTAAAAGAGTTCTGCATTTATTTGTCATATGCTGTTGCTGTAGCTCGATTAAGCCAAATTTTCAATGCGTTCTCTTCATCTGTAAAGACAGGGGCCAAATTAATTTTTTTTGGTCTGACACAGTGAAAGCCAATGATGTTACGAGAGCTGGGTTGGTTCAGAAGCTTGGACAATGTATAAGTACGACGCTGGGTACCCCAGACTATGCCCTAAATGGTGTTTTGTAGAATGTAGAAAGCACTGTTGTATATATCAATTCAGATATCTATGATTTCAATAATACTAATGCCAAGACAGAAGTTTAATGGTTTTTTCATCGCTTTCTCCAAAGTTGAAAATTTCTATATTTCTATATATTTCTATTTCCAAGAAGTCTTATATGTGTTAACAGATATTTCTTTGAGTCCTCAGTGCAAGGCAATCTCAGCCATGTGTGAGCATGTCTCTGTCCATTGAAGATGAGTTTTATCTTTTGACACCTGATGAATCTCTTCCTCTTCTTTTCTCCTGAAAAAAATTTGTGGATCTACCCCTAAACAATCACACACTTCTGTGTACTTCTACTTACTATATTTATTCCTTGGAAGTCAGGTCCTTACACAGCTATTAAAAATGCTCATTAGTGGGCTTTATCTGATGTTTTCAGACAGGTCTAAATGCTCCTTTGTTGCTACACGCAGTTTTGCAGTAGCCTCTGCTGAGTTTATGTAGATTTTGCTGGAGGAGAAGGTATTTGTCTCGTGAACCTGTTCTTCCATCTGCTATTTTTTCCCCCTGCCTACCACACCTGTGCTATTCTGATGCAGTTGTGGCCTTCATACTTAGGGAAAAATTCATTGATGGTGCGTGAGGGCATAATTACAGAAAAAGCTGAGCAAACCTGGCTGTCAATCCAGCATGGCACTTCCATTAACTTCAGAGGAATAGTTAAAGCCCTTGAGATTATGTGTCAAGTACTTTGATGGGTTAATGTATGAGGCACTGCTTTGTGGGAATCAGCCCAGTTAATTATTTTGTTACTGCACCATCACTCTACACACCTCCAAAATGTCGGCCTTGTTCTATTTCACATATATACTTACCCTTACTGTTCGTAATAGGCTCTGAGCAGTGCAAAAATCCATTCAGGCATGAAAACAGTACCCTGTTCCCTCCAGGGATTTGAATTATTTCATCTGTAAAGCCTAAAAGAGCAATGTTTTAAGAGCTCCTCCAAAAATCCCTGGTGAGGTAACAAGGCCTACCTTCCAAAAGGTCACAATGGCCAGGATATTGTGCCAGATTTATATTATAGAGAATGAAAATAAAGACACTTGTAAAGTTAGTGACCTCTTTTTAAGGAAGTTTTTAAAATTTACAACACTATTTTTATGATAAGAAAGAGTTTTTAAATTAATTTTGTGAATTATTACTGAATACAACATGTATTTTGTATCAAGAAGAGCAATTTTGCATTTCCTTGCCAGCAAGTTAAGGGCTTCGGCTCAACCTTTGTTCAGCAGCAAGGGATGACTTATGTGAAACTAAGAAATAAAGCATGGCAAGGAGCAGGAATTGATAATTCTGGAAAATCTGATACCTGGTTTGTGTGTTGCAGGATATGCAAACTGTGTGGGAGTGAATTCGATTGAGTGAATGCTAATTTTATACCTAACATATTAAGAAAAATGAGAATTATTTTCTTGTATCAGTTTAACAACCAGTGACAGACCACTGCAGTGTTGTATGCCTGCAAAACAGTGATTTTAGACTACAGTTAATGTCACTGTGGTTGAAGTGTGATGAAAAACTAGCAATGTGGCCTCTGCTAGAAGCCACAAGCTCGCAAATACTTCTCTTGAATCTGTTCCTGTAGGCATGGCTCTGCCCAGATCTTCCCTAAGACCGAGTGGAGGAAAAACATAGTTTTAACATGACAACAATATGGATTTCACCCCTTCATGTCTATTCTTCCCCCTTCAAAAAAATAGTACAACGAATCGTATTTCTGGTCTTATACCATTGCTGAATGCAGAGTATATGCAGTCCACCTAATTCTCACATCTGTCCTTCACCACAGATTTGGGACAGCAGCGCATCCGTAGTCATACACTGAAAAGTAGTGGGATTAGTCAGAGTGCTGTCACTTGCTCATAAGAAAGAGAGACTTAAGTTGGCCGAGGAACAGTCTCATTCTTGGGACAGTTCTTTGTGCCACTTCGATCTTCACCTTCAACTTCATCCATTTCTGGGACAGAGTAATGTATAATAGAAATAATTCTGTCACATCAGGAGAGTAAGATTTGGAAAAATTTTTTTTCGTATTTTAGATCTTAGAACTGAATTTTCTGGTTAAATAAAGAACCTTTCCTCCTGTGAACAGAATAAAATTTGTGTAATTTGACAAAACATCACCACAGTGAAATTTGAGATATACTAGTGCTAAGAGTCTTAAGTGAAAAATATGATTTGCGCACATTTTGAATACCTACTGATAAATGGTTTATAAAAGAATAATAAATGACTAATGTGTGCTTTAATAAATGATTCATTTATTCCTATAGAGACCTGTGAGTGGATAGGTTGCTTGTCACCATGATTTATGATGACTTCC